CTCTAGCTAAAGATACTTTCTCAGGCCCCTCACCTTGAATACTCAAAGAAAAAGACTCCCAAGGAGCAGCTACTTAATGGTTGTCCAGCTGCTGGAAGATGATTTTACAAAGACGTATCTTTGTAAGGATTAGGTGTCAGTGGCATAAACAATGATTAGGACTGCTGTAAAGCTAAGGACCGTGATGCAGAAGCCATGGAGGAATAGAAGTCTATAAATGATTGTGCCAGCTTCCAAACAAATCAAGAAGATTAAAAGAAATTTTAAAAAAATCTAATGGAAGAAACAGTATCATAGGATGATGTGGAAGGAACTGGTAGCTGCAGGCCTATAAAAATAATTAATGCTTTTGGCAGATTATAGCCAAAGAGACTAACATTTTTAGCTGAATCCCTGATGCACATATTCCTGAAGAAACACAAGTTTTGTTTAATCTACTCGTACCTGGTAAGGAAAATAATAGCTGCTTGCTGAAGGACACTTTAGCTGTTAAATCACAGGTAGACCATTACCTCACCTCTGAATCTCAGGTAAGATCATATCTATCTCTGCTGAGCAGTGAGAAGGCTGCTGACCTTGATTTTTCTTCCCCCAGTAATCTTGGGGTATCCAATTTTGACAAAAGCATTTAACATAATTATTTTAGAGGCATTTATCCTAAGTATTAGAATGAAAATAATACTAGTCCCAATCTTAAAAAATGGTGATAAGAGAGATCTTGCAGCGTTTTGTCCTATTAACCTTACGTCTATTCTAGCCAAAATATTTGGGAGACATTTAGTCTTATCTATAACTGTGGATTTCTGAAAATAAAGTTCTAGGAAAAGAGCAAGCTGATTTTGGAGAAGGCTATTCTTTTGTAGACCACTCAGTTGCATTATTTGATATCCAAATATGTAAAAAGACCAAACCTTTTACATGTAGCCTTCATTGTTCTAAAGGGAACTTTTGACTCCATTAGACCAATTAAAAATTATGGATGAAATTGGCAGAGACATCAATGGATAAATTCTGCTACAGTTAATCATTGCTTCTTATTCAAATAAGAATATAAGAATTGCCTTTTACTGGGCAAGATCATAGGTCCATCTTGCCTGGTATCCTGTGTTGCACAGTGGCAGAACCTGGATACTGAAATGGAGAACAAACTGGGTATGACCAGGGTTTTTTCTACTGTTTTTTCTCTTATTTTCAACCTCCAGCACTTAAAGTCTAGGAAGTTCTGATTCAGAAGCTGTATCCCTAACTCCTATGCTCAATAGCTACTGATGCCCCTTTCCTTCAAGAATTTGTCCAGTCCCTTTTTTAATCTGGTTAAGTTGTCAGTTTCCACAACTTCTTGCAGCAATGAGCTTTAATTGCACACTGTGCAAAAGAGGATTTCTTTTTGCTAATTTTAAACTTAGTACTTACTAGTTTGTTTGTGACCCCCTCATTCTTGAATTGAGAGAGTAAATAAATCCCTATTTATCTCTCTACCATTTAGATTTTGTAAATCCTTGTCTTGTCCCTCCTCAAGTCTCTTCTAAACTGAATAGGCCTACCCTCTTTAATCTCTCCTCATATTGAAGCCTCTCCATACCAGTAATAATTCTTGTTGCCCTTCTCTGGGTGTTCTCTAGTTCTTCTGTGTCCTTTTTGAGGTGTGGGGACCAGAAATGGGCACAGTATTCATGGTGAGGTTGCACCATGATTTTGTAAAGGGGTGTGACGATACTTTCTGGTTTGTTTACAATTGCCTTAATAATCCCTAACATTTTTTGCCTTTTTGATGGCTGCTGAGCACTGAGCTGATGTTTTCACAATGACTCCCAGATCTCATTCCTGTTTGGTAACAGCTGATGTGATATAGGTGTAGCTTGGGTTATTTTTGTCCATGTGCATCACTTTTCTTTACATTGAATTGCATCTGCCATTTAGTTGCCCATTTGCGCAATTGTGCCTGACCCTCTGTAGTTCCTCACAGACTGCCATGGTCTTTACCACTTTGAATAATTTTGTGTGGTCAGCAAATTTGGCCACCCCACTCTCACCACCTTTTCCAGATAATTTATAAATACATTAAACAACATTGGTCCCAACACAAATCCTTGGGGGATTCTGTTGCCTGTTTACTTCTTTCCATTCTGAAAACTGACTATTTATACTCTTGCTTTCTATCTTAGAGCCACTTTCTAATCTACAAGTGGATGTTCCCTGTAATCCCATGACTACTTGACTTTAAGAGCCTCTGGTGGGGGGACCTTGTCAAAGGCTTTTAGGAAGTCCAAGTATGCTATGTCAACTGGATTGCCCCAATCCACCTGCTTACTGACACCCTCTAAAAACTCTAGTAGGTTGGCGAGGCATGATTTCCCTTTGACAGAGCTGTGTTGATTTGTCCCCAGTAAGTTATGTTAATCTACATACTGAACGTTTTTTTTTAAAATTGTTTATACTAGTTTTCCAGGAAGAGAAGTTAAGCTCACTGGCCTAGAGTTTCCTATTGTCCCTCTAGAGCCTTTTTAAAATATGGGAGTCTTATTGGCAACCCTCCAGTCCTCAGGTACCAAGCTTGTTTTTAGCAATAGGTTGCATACTACAGTTAGGAGTTCATCAGTTTTCAATCTGAGCTCCTTCAGGACTTACAGCATCTACAGTGCTTTATGGGATCCAGGGTGCCTGTCCAGTAGTTTTCCAACTAAGACATGGGTATGAAAAGTATATTTGCTTCATCTGCTACTTTTTAATCTATTCCTGAATGATATAAAACCTGTGCCAATAGGGAATCAATTCTGTGTACCCATGACATTGAATAATCTTGTCCCTGTTGTGCTTTATGCAGGTGACATGCTATTAATGTTACAATTCCAGATAGGTCTTCAAGAGTTATAAGATGCTTTTCAGAGACAGTGGACGTATCTACATGTTCATTAATGTGCCATAATTACGTTACATTAAGTTTAGTACCTGTAATGTACTAACTTAATGAGCTGTAATCAGTGCTACTGTGCATTAGTGCAAACAAACAGTATTTTGTGATGTTTATGTGTAGTAGACTAAATCTACTGCACATTAGTGCATTAGCATGGGTTTTGCTTGCTGTACTAATGCGCAGTAGAATTAGCCTACTGTGCTCAAAGCATCTCATGTAGATGTGCCCACTGTGTCTCAAAGCTTGGATCAACACTGCTACCTCCAAGGTACTGGTCTTTGGGAATCAAAGGAGGAAAATGGCATGGGTTTTGTAGAGAAATAAATTGGAGCTGGTGTCCTCACTTAAATACCTTGGAATCTATTTCAATAAAAATCTGAGCTACAGTAAAAATACTGAAAATCTAAGTGTCAAAACAAACCAAACCTTGGGTGGAGATTCATTCTTTTACAACAGGGCAAGCAAAAGAATGGTACTGGCAGCACTGAAGTAGTCCATTTTATTGCATGGAGCAGAACTGAGGGATGTTCACCCCATGGTTCATTCAAAATAGAAAAAAAAAATACTTTTTAAGGTGGCTTTTATCTCTACCAAATTCTGAGACTTGGGGGGTGCTTATGCAATCTGAAATAGGGCTGCTTAATGTGAGCACTTTAACTAAATTATTAGATAAAAATTAGAGCTTGTTTCCCTTTTTAAATACCCTATGGAGTGCATTTTAGAAGCCTTTCTTTTAAAGTCTTTCTGATTATTGTAACTTGGGCAGTAATTCTCAACCAGGTGGCTGTGGGGTGCCATACAATATTAACACTGTCAGGTGTACAAACACCTATACATAATTCACAAGGTAAGACCAGAGATTTCAAGTAGGAACTAGTGTCAAAAATATTTTGACCTATTGTGGTTTTTCTTATTCTTTGCAACAGAAGAATTGCTGTATTTTCTGTAGTAATGAAAAAAGTGAAAGCTAAGAGATGGCATTTTCTGAGGGGTGACCCGAGTCTGTAAAGGTTGAGAACCACTTGTTTAGAACCTTTGCTTAATAACTTGCTAGAAAAAAACCTATTCTGTTGTAAATCTCACCCTTATCTTGACCTACAGTTAAATGTGATAGGAATAACTAACAGGAATAAATGATCAAAGCAGTTTTCTCTTTCTCCTTTTACAAGAAGCCGACTAAAGCAGCTGCTGTAAGGTAGATACTTTGCTTCTTTCCCATTTTGAAGGACATGGGTAAATTCAATATGTACATCTTGAACAAACAAACAATGAAATGTTCTAATATGCAAAGTAAAGAGTTAAGCTTTTGATAGATATATAAATAGATATAAGTCTTTTTTTTTTTTCATTCCTCCACAAGTCTACTAGTGACTGGCTGAGGATGGTATGGCTTGGTTAGTGCATTACAGGACTATAGTGGTTAGTCCTGTGGTGTAGTCATTTCCGGCAGCATACTGCTCCACTCAGGACCTTCATGTTTTTTTGTTCCTGTACCTGTGAGCATGCTCCTTCCTCTTGTGCTTTGTTCCACTTAATTTTGAACTCCACATGTCTTCTCCCTGTCCATCTGTCCTTGTTACTCTGCCTGTCCATCCAAAGAATAATCAATGTTGGTGTTTCTTTGCATGTGTTGCCTAGGTATTTCCAGCTGTAAAGTGCTTTTGAAGAAAAGCCAGGGGTGGTATTGGTTTATTCCATGACAACATTTGTTCTTTAACTCCACCAATTTCCATGCTGTGTCATGCTTTTCTCATCCTTCCTCTCCTCCAACCTTTGGTACTTGAAGACTCTTGATTATTACTCCTCTGAACTGATGGCTTTCATTCTTCCTTGTTCTCAGAAGAATACTGATAGAATTATGCTTCTGTCTTTCCAGTGAGATTCGTTAATATTTCCCATACTAATATATTTTGTCTTGTACTGTATGTGTATACACCTATAAACAGCTCTAGTATGCTGTTTCCTATGCATCCTTAACATATTGTTCTGATATCTCACTTTTAAAAATAACAAATGAATGAAGCATGTAACAAAACAGAATTGTTTTGTAAGACTACTATGCAATGTGTGTTCATATTCCTTACAGAAAGAAATTCAAGCGATGAGTCAATGCAGTCATCCCAATGTAGTAACCTATTATACATCTTTTGTGGTGAAGGATGAACTTTGGCTAGTTATGAAGTTATTGAGTGGAGGTAAGTTGCTGATTGCCCTTCAGCAGAGCCGACCCGAGTAGGGTGTGGGCTCCGGGGCAAATCAACCCCCATTCTGATCCCATGGGCCTGAAGAAGTTTCTGCTGTAGTGGTGACAGTGTCAGCACCAGTGTGGGAGAGGGAGTAACGAGCAGCTGAATGCAGAGCTACTGCTCTGTGTCACTGCTCCACCCAGCTCTGCAGGGCCTGCCAAAATGCGGGGCCCTGGGCAGTTGCCCCAACTCTTTCCCCCTACCCCCAGGGTCAGCCCTTCCCTTCAGTTTGTTTCTTAAAACTGTGTACAGTCTCATTTTTTTTTTTTTTTGTTGTACATCCTTTTTTAAATAATTTATTAAAAAAGGATGCAAACTTCTGAAATGGAACAAAAAGGATGTGCTCTGAAACCTACAGGCTTAGCTGAATGACAGTCGGGATGTTTCATGTAGCCTTTTTTATTTTAAGACATGGGCATCAGCAAGACATACAGAGAGGTTTGTACTGGTGTCAGGCTCTAATCAGTTCTGCTGGACTTTGTTTTTTCTTAAGCACCATTTACTAAAATAAGAAGAGTAGATGACCCACTGTAGTTTCACTGAGTTCCTCCCATCCTTTTACCTAAGGAAGAGGGGCTAGTACCATTTCCTGCTTATTAGTCCTGTAATAGGAGCTGTCCATGTCTGTCTAGTCCTTTTCTGGACAGTTGGGCAGGAGGAAAGGTAAATGTTGTGTATGTTAGTAGTTGGGGGAAATCAATTTGGTCATTTCATTTTATTTTTCTTGTTAGTCTCTATCATCAGTTTCTGATCGGCAGCCGATTCCTATTACATTGTCATAATCTGAAAATAAATGTTAAGAGGTCTCTTAAAACAGAGACGACTAGAGAGATGCAGTGTTGCTTTATATACCCAAATTGGAAACTAGCAGTCTGTAACTCAGCTCATCAAGTACTAGGAAATGCTTGGCTAAAAAAAAAATGTTACTATTCAGAAATATGAGAAATTAATAATAAATGAATAAAGACCCTCCCCATGCAGGATACCTTATACATCAAGCTCCATGTTATTATAATAGAGTGTTCTTTTTATTTTTGTGGCACAGCTTCTGTAACTGGACCTGTACAAGAATGCTGTGTGTCTTGCATAGGATTTATGCAAAGGGTTGGGGCTCTGAATTGTAAATGTATGTTCTAGTCTAGCTTGTAAAGTGCTTGTACTTTTAAGTTGGAGTGCTCTTGAAACATAACACTGGTAGATCAAGAAGCTGTGTTTACAAGTAGAATATTGAGTGTTTATAATACTTTTGATCAGTGTATTACCATGTTTCTTTTCTATTTAGAACAAGTTAACCATACACCATTATAACAGATGGTTAGCTCTGATGGTCCTTAGACATGTGAAGATGTGTATGTATCTGAGAATTCATGTGGTAAGGTTGCTCCAAATTAAACAGTTTTATTTTTTTTCTCCTGGAAACCTGAATTTGTCAATTTAGGTTCGATGCTGGATATAATAAAGCATATTGTCAACAGAGGAGAACACCAGAATGGTGTACTTGAAGAACCAATAATAGCAACAATTCTTAAAGAAGTTTTGGAAGGTTTAGATTATCTACACAGGAATGGTCAAATTCACAGGTAGGAGCACATGTACAGTGGGCTGTATTTTAAGATTGCATTTAGAACCTTCTATGTTTGACTGGTCAACCAGTCGGCTGGCTAAATTAATTTATTTTCATGGTTTTAATAAGTATATGAAATGGTTTAGTAATTACTGATTGCAAGCAAACTAAAGTTGGGGTGTGTGCTCATTACAACTCTCCCCTGCTTCCGGCCTGGAGGTGATGAGCCTGGCGCAGCTGTTTGTAGCCAGCCCAGTGCTGAGCCCACGTATTATTTGTGTGTACTGTCATTGTCTGCATTACTTGCATCTTTGCTTAGATCAAATTAGCTGGTGGGCCACAGAGCTTCTCATGGGTCAGACAGCTTACCCTTGAATCCAACCTGTACGGCTTTTCTCTGCAGTTGTTACTGCTATTGTTGTGGCAGTGGCTGCTGGAGCTGCAGTGCCAGCACCCAGGTGGGGAATGCTTCACAGTTGCCAGCAGTGACTTGGAACAGCTATTACATTCTGGTCACATTCAACCCTGGGTTCTGGCTATGCTGATGATACAGCTCTAGCAGCTGTGAAGACAGGGCTTCAGTGGTGGCAGCAGCAAGTCCTGGTTGCTGGTGCCCACAGTAAAAGCCCTGCAGGCTAGGTGATCCACTTTTGTAGGTCATATCTTGCCCATGGGCTGTATTTTTAACACCCCTTGCTTAAATTAAGGGTATGTCTGCAGTGCAGTAAACAAGTCCAAACTGCTTCATGTTGCTGTGGCTGTATTGCTACTGGTATTGAAGCTAGCTAGTTTAAAACTAAAACTAGATTGGATGTCTGCAGTGCAGTTCAGTGGAGAGTATATGGCATGCCCAGGATGGCTGTACCCCTTACTCCCAGTCTCCCTCCCCCAGGGTGGACAGACTGCATGATGGGAGCAGTAGTCAGAGACTTTAGGTCCCCCAAGAAGGTAAGAATTGTACCCCTCCACCTCTTTGCTCAGAGGCACATTCCCTTTCCTTTTCCCATACTCCCCACCTGCCAGTGCTGTTCTCCCAACTGGCCCTGAGGGTAACAGGAATTCTAGAAGTGCTCCAGCTGGGCTGGCAGGGGCTGGGCTCAGCCCAGACAAGTGGCAGGTAGGTGGGTACACTCTCCTTGCCTACTCCTGGGCTGGTGGGAAACACCCAGGATGGGGGGAAGGCAGGGAGGAGGATCCTACCCACTTCTTTGCCGATGTTCTGGGCTGAGCCCAGGCTGGAGCAGGACAAGAGGTCCCCTTGTTCCTAGGATAGCAGGGACAGCAGCAGTGGCAGGTAGGGAGGGAGGAAAAGGGATGTGTTCCTGAGTGTGTGGGGAGAGATTTATACCTTCTTTGGGGATTTAAAGTCCCTGGCTGCTGCTCCTGCTGCATGGTCAGAAAGGGGGATTCAGGCACACCACTGCACCCCCTCTGGATCTGCCCTTGAGTGTATCTATACCTTTACACTTTAATTTGATAAGAATTATCTGTTGTTTGTATGGAGTTTCAGTGCAGTAAGGTCCTGAATGGGATAACCAATATAAATGCAACACAGCCAATAAAAAGAAAGTAAATATGTATTCCATTGTGACAATTAGTTAGTGCTTACAGCAGTCCTAAAATCTTTTACTTGATGATTGTGAATTGAAGAGCCCATGCATGTTGCTGATGTCTCCTAGTAATTGCCTGTTGCAGCCTTGCCCTTCTATATCTCCATTCTCTTCTCCCATGGCCTTCCATGGTAAAGATAGCTCATGACTTTTCCATGCTGTCAGGGTATAACTACTTCCATGATGCTCCATTTCTTTCGGTGGGTTGGAGTCTTTGTCAGAAGCACTAGACTGCAATCTTGCTAATATTTTTTTGTTAAGGTAAAGCTGGCTATACAGAAAGATGATTATAAATGTCCCAGAATGGGTACTGCTCAGGCTGGATGCAGTAAATGGTTGTTTGTCCTGTGTAGCATGTGCGGTGTTCACATGATTTTTAACAAACTAACCACCTCTCAGGCAAACTGGGGAATATTTTCTTCTTTCTTCAAAAGGGATGGATGAGAAAGTAGAAGTTGGGTTTCCTGACTTGACTTCCAGTCTTGAATTTCAAGAAATTTGCCATAATTTGTAGCCTTCATTAAGCACCTTTTAAGGCTGAGGGAAGTTTGCTGTGTCTCATGTGTCTTGTTAAGAAGAAAGAGGTTTTCTCCAACTCTACAGGGACTGAAGAAATTTGGAAAAGGTCTTATTGTAAGATTGAGTTGAGAAATGCAAGCTTTCTATGTTTTTTTTCTTCAAATGCTTTATAAAGGAACGCTGATTAGAGATACTACTTCCAAAATGGCTTGTTTTCTTCTTTCCACAACCACCTGCTTCCTTGCCAGAAAATGTCATTGAGTAAAGTGTTTTCAGTGGTAACAATTGTTAATTCTTCTCAGTAAATCCTAGGAAGATTGGCTCATTCAAATTAATGTTTACAGTATGCATGTTGAACTTCCTTCCAAATGGGAATATAAATTTCTATTTTCAAAGAGGGTCCTAATCCCATGAAGACTTAGACATATGCTTATCTTGAAGCAGTAAATAATCACATTATGTATGTAGCCAAATTCATTGAATTTTAAAGCTAAGCATGTATTTGTTTTTGCAGGATTGAGTTCCTAAGGTTTTGTTTATTAAAAGAAAACAAAAAACAATGCAGCGCACTATAAAACAAAACAAAAAGCAAACAAAAAACCCAGACAATATTAGTAGTTTTTGTTCTTTAATCTGTGGTGAATTTATTTCTTGTACAAACTGATCAAAAGGAGCATTTTAGAGGTAAATAATGGAAGCACCTTCCCCCTTCTCCTTTAAAAAAAAAAAAAAAAAAAAATACTGTTTTCATCAGTTTTTAGGATAGAAACGATTAGGGCCAACCTCTCAGCCATTATAAGCTGGCCAACTCCCTTTATCAATGGAGTTCTGCTCTTTTACATCAAAAATGATTTTATCTTAAGTTCCCATCAGTGTCCTTTGAATTCTGCTTTTTACTCAGTATTACATGCCAATTAAATTCTGTCACTTCATTTCTCTCTCCCCTTAATGTTAAATATCAATGGCTTTTCTTTACTTGCTTCTTTATGGTGATGGATCATAAACCAAACATGTTTTGAGTGGCTCTGAAGCTTATCAATTTTAAAATGGCCATCTTGTGATGATCTTGGAATAAATTTCATAGCCTGTGATTATAATTCTTCTACATAAGGTCTAACCAAACTTATTTGTACATTCTAGGGATTTGAAAGCTGGTAATATCCTTTTGGGTGAAGATGGCTCAGTACAAATAGCAGGTAATGAAGCTGATCAAAATGTAATGGTTAGTCAAGGAAAAACAGGAAATTGGCTCATCAGGATTAAAGGACACATCTGGGTACATGTGGCATATGTGCTATTTTATAAGATTCTTCAAATTATCTTTTTATATGGCTAATTTCATAAAACGGGTGTTAGTTGAGAAATGTAGCGCAGTAGCCACGTTTCACATTATAGGCTGTTCAGAGCATGTGAGAGACAAAGTTTTACCACCAGTGTCAGAAAACTTATTTCTACTCAACTGTTTCTTGTGACTCTACACATCGGGGAAGAACCTCTTGCCCAGAGGTCTACCAATTCACATTCACATTTGTCCAGCGCGTTATTTCAGGAAGTATCCTTTTCAGTAATTTTAATGAATCATGGTGACTGAAGAACAGCACTACAATACATACTGCCATTTATAGTGATTGGCTCCAGCACTCTTTACTATTGTACAAATGCTTGGAAAAAATGCTTTGATTTTGAATGCTGGCATGTTGTAGTAATACAATGGTCAAAATTTCTTGTAGTATCTTGACTTTTGCTTTTCTTATAATTAACCTACATTTTATCATAGTTATACCAAACCGCTTGGTGTAAATCTCATGACCATTGAATATGTACGTGCCTTTTGAACTGCTTTTTTATAATAAGCCTAAATAGGCACTGAAACTGGATATCTCACCTACAGCTTCTGTTTTTTTAAAAGCAAAATGCTTATCAGAAGAGAGTATTAGTCTTTGTTTTTCAAAGCAGAAAAAAATCTTAGGTTTAGTTCAAAATATTATATGTACAGTTTTTGAACTGCAGTTAACAATGATTGCTTTTTCAATTAATGCTGAACTGAAATACAGAAGAGTTGTAGAGCATACTTATAGCTGTATCTAAAATTACCAAAATGTTTGGACTTAAACAGTTTAGTATTTGAGATACTCTAGCTTTCCAAATTCTCCAAAATCTAACCATACAATGATTACATTAGATTTTTTTAAGTCTTAATTGATTTGAACTTTAGGATCATCTGGTTCATATGAAATCCCTCTAGTTTCTAGTCTTTTTATGACCAATATAGGGTTTCTGGCCAAGTTGGCCTTGTGTCTTTTTGGATATTATCTTGCATCTTCTTTTTCTAGCTTTACCCCTTTGATTTGATCTTGATCTTATTCTTTATCCTTGCCCTACTAAGCATTGCTCTCCATGAGTAAACCCTTTTATTGTGCTGTAAAAATGTCCAGTTAATGAGGATTAAGTGTCACAGTTCGATGTGCAGACAGCAGTTTGTCTTTGTGGTACATTTTTTGTCTAGAAGGCTATTCCAGTTCTTACCCTGGGAAGGAGAGTTGGATCAGAACTCTGTTAGCAGTTTTGAAATGTGATTGCTATAAAGCCAGTAATAGCTAAAAGTAAATTTACAGACCAGAAGTGTCTAAGATGTTGTGTCCTCTTGCATCTTGATCTTTCTTTAAGAAGCTTATTCTAATCCAGGCGTGGGCTGTAGTTTCAACTGGAGGACTGCTTAATGAATTTTGGTTAGCTATCGAGGGCTGCATGGGTAGCCCCACCCCTTGACAGTTGTATCGCCTCCTGGTCACCATCTTGGGACCAGAAGTCCCGCCCCTAACCCCTGACTTAGGCCACTGGAAGTCTCTCCCCTTGCCCCCCAGAAATACTCCTTTTGGGAGGGTGGGGGGGGGGTTGCCATCGTAGAACCAGAAAGAAACAAAAATCGCTGAAGTAAAACACCAACTATAACATTTTAGTTTTATTACCAAAAATATTTTTGTCATGACTTATGTTTGCATACTGTATATAGAGGTGATTGCATAATAACTCAAAAATAAAGTCTTAGACTTGTATATTGTGGGGGGAGGTGTGCTTGGGGTGTGTGTTTGTGTGTATGGGGGAGGTGGTGAGGTAGGGGGGTTTGAGGAGGTGTGGCTGTGTGTGTGTGGGTGCAATGGTATTTTTTGGGGGGTTTGTACATGTGAGGGGTTGTGGGGGACAGGGTGTGGGTGTGTAGCATTTGTGGGGTGTGTGGGGGGTGGGAACTCTTCCCGTGGCATGCAACAGGCCCCCACAGACAGGAGCAGAAGAGGCAGGCAGAGCTGCTCAGGCCCCTGGTGCCCAGTGCAGGTGCTGCAGCCTAGCAGCTTGTGGCTCTGGCCAGCACTGAGCATTGCAGCAAGAAGCACAGCTTGGCCAGTCAGCCTCTATCTCTGGGGCTTCCCACCACACACATGCAGCTCCTGCACTTGCACACCACGGGGGAAAGTCCCATGCAAGAGCAGTCTGCTTTTCCCACCCCCTGCTGTGCAGGTCCTCAAACACCGTGGGGAAGCATGAAATGGGGCTTTATTGGGTGGAGTCCCGGGACCTGTGCAGCAGGAGCCAGGGAAGGGAGTTGGCTCCCACTTCCCCTGGTGGCGCACAAGTGTGGGGGCTGTACGTGCAGGGCAGGAAGCTCTGGCGGTAGAGATGGGCTGGCTGAGCTGTGCTCCTTGTGGCGATTTACAGCTCCTGCACCTGCATGGGAACCCTAAGCCTGCTGCTGGTGCTGCTATTAGTAGTGTAATAATAGGCTGTTAACTAATATTGGCCTTATATGTGTTGACTACTTGGAAGACAAGTTTTGTCTAGACTTGGAAGGGTGTTAGTTCTCAACCCATGAGTTGTGACCCAAAATGGGTTGCAAGAGTTCAGAGGATTACAAGCCATGTGTTGAGAAATGCTGATCCCAGGAAAGCGCTGAGACTGTGGCAGGGCAGAGGGGTGGTGGGAAGGTGCCTGCCCCTTCCAGTGGGGGAACAGGGTGGAAGAGAGCTGTGAGGCTGCACTGGTTGCTTGTAGGGTGGCAGGGCAGAAGGGGCTGTGACCAGGTTGCCTGGAATGGTGCAGCAGCCGCAGCACAGGGCAAGGGTTGCCACAGGCCTCACCTCCTCCCTTCAGCTTGTGCTGGGGCTGGATGCACTCCGCTGCTGCCTGCATGAGCCCAAACTACTGCAGCCACTGTGCTCTGGCCCAAGCAGGGGCCAAAGGGGGGCAGCTGGGGGGCCTCTGGCAGGGCTGTGGGCTGGAAGTGAGGTACACTGTCAGGGCTGTGGGGGCAGGGGCTGTGGGTTGGAAGTGAGACACCAGCATGACCTGGCAGGGGGAGCCTGGGGACTCTGGGTTGTGCACCAGCAGGGCCAGGGGGTTGTGGGTGGGGACAGGCCATGAACCTTTGCAGATGGGTCCCTGTAGAAAAAAGGTTGAGAACTACTGGTCTAGGGGTTCAGTCTACCAGGTTCCTCAAAAAACCCCCAGAACTATACTAAGTAGTACCAGTCACAGATCTAGAGGATTCTGGACAAAATCACCTTGGGGAAAATAAAGGGAACTATATAACTTTGTGTGTGGTGTTGAATTTTCTTTTTAATGTTCACAAACTCCTTTTTTCACTTGTGGGGAATAAAAATCTTTAGACATTGCATTGGTAACTGAATGTTTCTAAAATCATTGCAGTTCCACATCTTATTTAATACTAATAAGGTTGTAAAGTTTGGTGACCTGTGCAAGAGAGAGAATTGATACTTCATCGATGTTTCAGCCTTCTAAACTTAAATTGCCTAGAGAAAATATAAAAATACCATGAAAAGCATAAAAGAACAGAATTCCAAGTTGAGGTAAGGAGCACATACTAATAAGTAATCCTTCCTTGTTATTCTAGTTGGAGAGTAGGGAAAATATGTGGTTTATTATACAGAATTTTTAGTCTGTATAAGAAGTGATAATTTTATTGCAAGGTATGAAAGAAAGATCATGCAACTTTTAGGAATCTAGGAATACTTTCACCTTCTGTGGAACTAAGAATGCAAATTTCCTCAAACTGCTCTTTCCTTGTTCATTGGTGTGGCTGTGAATATTTAACTAACCTCTTCAAGTGCCTTTTGAGGCCTCTTCTGAAACGGTTTATAATAGAAATGTTTTAGCTCATATTATTCAGTTAGATTTAAACTTGGCCTGAAAAAGTAGGTGGGTCATGCAAAGTATACACAAGATTTTAGTGCTTTTCTTTCAAATGTGAAAGTGTAATAATAATTTTAATACTGGGAGGTTGCACCCAAAACCATGGGATTTAGAGTTCAAGGTAGCATGACTCTGGCAGTGCACCTTTGGTTGTCTGCCACTTTAAGGGTAGTGTCAGGCAGCTACCTAGGTACCTGATGGTGGCAGCCATTTTGACAACCTGGTATATAAAATCTGCAGTGTGCTGCTGCCAGCCCAGGCAGAAACATTGCCTGGCTGAGCTGCATGGGACGTCTAGTAGGTAGGAACTGGAGGCTCTTGGTTCTGGGCACAACCTAAAACTGGACCCTGCCAGGGATGGGTGGTTTGGTGGGGCTTCTGGTGCCACGGGAGCCCTCAGGTAATGCCAGGCCAGTTACCACCCTGGTGAAAGGCGGGCTGGGGTGCCTTAACCCCTAGCCCCCACAATTCGGTGGGTTTGAGAGCCAGGCATGGCTACAGCCACTTGAGCCCTATGGGGTGGAAGACCCCAGGAGAGGAGTGGGGCCAGGCACAGCTGCGGCCATCTGAGCCTTTAGGGGAGGAAGACCCCAGAGGCCCCTGGTGGGGGAGATAGTTGTGTGGCCCTGGAGAGAGAGGGCAGTTGTGAAGGCCCTGAGAGGGCAGGGATGTAGATGGCCCTGCACAGGGTAGGGTTGAATGGGAGTAGGCCTGAAGGGCTGTGCGTGAGGGGGGCTGAATAGGGAGTAGGCCAGAAGGGCAGTCCTAGGAGCACATTGAGTAGAGCTGAAGTGGGAGTAAGCCTGAAGGGCAGTGCAAGGGCCAGCCCTGTGAGTAGCTGATCATGATGATAAGACCCCAGAGTGTGGTGTGGTGTAGAGGTCTTAGAGTGGGCGCAGTAGGAACCCCAGGAGTGGGGAGGAGGCCGAGGTACATCTTCGGATGCCTGAGGCCATAGTTGGGCCAGAGGCTGAGTGGGGAGGGCTCAGCG